CCCAGGCCTCCTCGTCGCAGGGAAGCGAAGGGAAGCCTGCGGATGTCAGGAGGCCCGGCCACAGGGAGGTGGCGTCCCAGCCCGTGAGAACCCCCCACGCGCAGGGCAGCTTCCGATGCCAGCTCTCACAGCAGGCGCCCGTCCCTGTGGGCACAGGCCTCTGCCCGGCAGTACCAGGCAAGCTCCCCGCCGGCTGCCCTGGCGCCCAGCCCAGCCCTCCCTGTCCAAGGGCTCCGGCCTCTTTCCGCAGTCGGGCTCCCACCCGGACATCAGCTCTGGCCATCAGCACCTGGGGCTCGTCTGGCCCCTGCCCTGCAGACGCGGCTGTGGCAGGGCCGAGGTGGGCGTGTGAACGCCGGACACAGGTGCAGACCCTGCCCGTCACGGTGTGGGCTTCACAGGGCTGTGGGTCCCCTCGGCTGGGCCACAGCACCGCCACCAACCTTCCCTGCGAGAGCCGCCCCGTCGCCCCGCAGAGAGGGGCAGGCTGGGGCAGTCTGCAGCGCCTACATCAGGCCCCAGTCCCGGTGATTCTGTTTCCACAGGGGGTCCCAGTGTCTCCCCGGATTCTCCGGAACGCGCAGCCGTCCAGATGGGGTTGTGGTGGGGGTGGAGGGGACAGAGGCCCTTTCGCATCCCTGTGGTGGTTATAGGCCGTTGGTCTGCCCAGCACGCCCTTTCTGGTGGACGTTTGACCCCACCCCAACCACCGGGCACCTGGCCCAGGCCTGAGGGGTCAGTGGGTACGGCGACATAGTCAAAGCACTCGGCCTCAGCGATTGCTCCAGGGAGGAATGCAGGCGCCAGGCCTGGCCGATCGCAGTCCCCCCTCCCCCCCCATCTTTTTTCCAGGGCTCTCAGGATCATCTGGTCCCTTTCTCTGAGATCCCACATACAGGGACAGCACGGTATGGGGCCACCGCTGACCGTCCTGCAACCAGGTGGAGGACTGTTCAGGGTCCAGGGGTGCAGGTCCCTGCCCGGCTCCGGATGTCTCGTCCTGGGAGCTGAACCGTCCTCCTCTTTCCCCTAAGCTAGTGGAGCATTTCTGAGAGTTTCTATTTCTCAAGCCTGAAACAATCCTGACAAATTCGCCAGGACGGTCTCTTTCAATCTCCTTCACCCGATGTCCAAGTGTTTCCTGATGTGAAAACCTCAGGGTCCCAGAAACATCCCGCGAGGTCACAGTGGAGGCGGAGCCCAGAAGCGTGCGGGGCTCTGAGCGGACAGGTGGAAGGTGCCGGCAGCACACGCTGAGGGGACGGGAGGGGCCTGCTGGCACAGCGGCTTATGACGTTGGGGACAGAGCAGGGGCAAGAGCGGGGATGGTTCGGAACCCTACCTGGTGACTCGGGGGGCAATCAGGAGCCACTGATGGCTTTTGAGCAGGGCTGTGACATGCCTCCTTCTGCAAGTGGCAACAAGAGACTTCCAGGGGACAGGGTGACCTGGAGGGGCGACCACCCAGGGGGCTGCGGAGGGTCCGGGATGGAGAGGAGGGGAGGGTTCGGGGCGTCAGGAGGGACGTCTCTGCGGCACATGGCAACCCTCGGAGCTGCCACTTGGGCGTCACTTTTTCCACCACGGGCAAGTGGGCAGAGAACAGGAGCAGACGACACGGGGGACAAGGGAAGGCGCAGCGGGCAGCGCAGGACTGGGGAGGGTCTGAGGGAGGTCCACCCGGAATATCCCCTCGGAGTTCCAGAACCTCAAAGCGAGGTGGCCCCAAAGCCTCCTGGCCTGGCCCCTCGTTCTGTCAGCCGGGCCTCAAGGCCGAGTGTCCCCTGCTCCCACGAGCCAGCGCGGCGCCGCCCCGGTGTCACTCCCGGACAGTCACCGGGGAGGTCATTCAGGCCTCGTCTTGCCGCCCGTTTAACAGCGAGGCAGCGGGGCCTGCCCAGCAGGCTCTGCCACCCAGCAATGCCCGGAGCAAGGGCGGGAGGAGAGGGCTCCGTAGCCGTAACTCTCCTCCGAATTTTAAAAGGAGCTGGGGAATATTGACACGAATTAAATCCAATAAAGCATTCATTTAATTAAACTTTAAGTGCTCCAAATATTTGCTGTTTGGTTGATGTTCGTGTAGCCGACAGGAGCAGCATTATGGCGGCTCTGTCAGTATTGGCGCGGTCGAAAGTCGCATGAGTTTTTCCTGCGCACAGTGCACGTCTTCCTACGTGCAAATGATGGAGAACGCGCAACCAGGTGTCCCAGCCGGTGGGGACGGGAGGGACACAGGAGGCTTCCGCCTCCCACTTGGGTTTCTCGCTTGTCTGGTTGTTTGAGCGCCACGTTACGGGCATCTCTGGAGCTTTTTCTAAACCTGCTCGGAGACCGAAACTCGGGGTCACGTGGAGGAGGGGAGCTGGCGTTTCACACAGGTCCCGTATTCCGATGGGGGGCCGTGCCCCTGGCCCAGTATTTAGGGCCCTTGGAGCCCACAGCCTCCCAGGCTGCCTCGTCTCCCCGCCCCCCTGCACGCCCCCTCCCGTCCTCCCAGACCCCCCCCCACCTTGTCGGGCAGAGTTCTGGGCCTCGAGGTCCCACAGGACCCTCTGGGCCGCTTGTTAAGATCCGGCGCCCGCCTGGCCCCCAGAGCGCCTGCCCCAGCCTGGGCAGAGGGGCCGGCAGCTGAGTCGTGATCGCCTGCCCGGGAGGTGCGATGCAGCTGGCTGGGGAAGCACAGCTGAAAAGCAGAGCTCGCCGCCCAGCGGAAGCCCTGCCTCCTCCAAGAGGCCCTCCCTGACCGCCCAGTGGTCATTTCCTCCTAGCCCGGCCAGAGCTCGGACGTGCAGAGAAAACATGGCTGCTTTTCACAGCTAACCTGACTCCCTCAGAGGCCCCACCCCACAGGGAGAAAAGCACCGCTGAGCGCTCAGTGCCGCGAGGCCCACTCCCCGCCGAGGGTCTTACCAGCCAGGTGAGTGGTGCTGTGTCTGAAGTGCTTCTCGTCCCCAGCTCCCTCCCGCGTCTCCAGCTGGCTCTGGGTGCAGAGAAGCAGCGTGGTGTCCTCCGCCTCTGGGTGGCCTTGTCCAAGAGCACTTGAAGCCGAGCTCGGCCCTGGGTGTGCTCTGTCTGGGCTCGAGCCTGGCGGGGTGTGGGGTCAGGATGCTCCCCCAAGCAGGACCCCCCCCCGCAGCCCCGAGGGCCTGGCCCTTCCCTTCGGGCCCTGCTCTGGCCGTCCTAGGCAGCCTCCCGCACAGAGGGGCCGGGAGCGGCTCTGGCTTTCTGCCCAGACTGCTGTGGTTGCCCAGGTGTGGGGAGCAGAATCCTTGCAGAGCCCCCGTCTGGGCTCTCCTCACCTAGGCACGGACGGTCTCCCAGAGCTTCCAGGCATGTGGCCCCATGGCCCCGGGGAGCCCCCTCCACACTCAGGGGCCTGGGTCCCCGGGCCCACAGGGCACAGCGAGAGCTGAGCAATTTCAGCAAATTCTCGTTGTCTCTCTCCCCTCTGCAAAGCCGAGGTCCGGCCATGCAGACCTGGCGCCGCCTCTCCTGCCCTGAGCAATAAGCCTCATGACTCGCAGGTGGGAGGGCAGCAGCAGGACGTGATCTAAGAGGGAACTGGAAACGCGTAGCTGTAACGTTGGTGAAATACTGTGCCGGTGCGTCTGCACCCGTCTCTCGGTGCTTACCTGTCCTCACCAGGGCTCCTTCACCACAAGTCACATTTTTCCTGTGTGATTCCCCCTCCCCACTGGCCTCTTGGCTTTCTTGCTGCTTTCTTTCATTCTCTCCATATTCTTTTATCCGTCCAACAGCACTGATGAGGCGCCTGGTGCAGACCCTGCTCACCTGCGCGGCCCGGCCCGGCCGCTAAGCACTGGGGGCGGGGCGGGTTCTGCCGCTCAGGACCTGACCCAGGCCCCGTGTCCAGCTCCGCTGCTCTGCAGTGGCGGCACCGCGGCTGTTTTCCCTCCCTCCTCCCCTCCCCCGCACGCGCCCGCAGCAGGCGTTGGCGCAGCTGTGCTGCCTGCGGTGGGTCGTGCTGAGGCCTGGTCACGGCTCCCAGGAGCCTCCGGGCTGGATAACTCAACGCCCAGCTCTGTGCTCTGCTCTAGAGTTTTTGGGGAACGCACCTGTCAGGTCCCCGTAGAAGAGTAGTACGAGTGAATGGGGTTCCCAGCGCTTTGGCTGGCATTCCGGAACACACAGACCCCCAGAGCCAGCCTGCTTCCCTCAGCCCGTGCTGCCTCCAGTTGCTGCCCGAGCCCCCCGAGTGGGCAGCTTGGGGGGACGGGCAAGGGGGCGCCAGTCCCCTCAGTGGGCCGGTGACTCTCCCCCACCTGATCTCATTAGGAATTCAGGCAGCCTGAGTTTCATGTTCTCATAAATCCTGAGAATCTCAAAAAGCGTGTGATTGCGAGGAAATATTTTAGACCCTTCCCATTTGCCCGAAGAATGATCAGTCTTAATGCCAGTTATCGAGAGTGAAATGGCAAGGACTAGTAATTTCTGCAGCCTGAAGTACCCTTCAGAACATCAAAGGCCACAGTGCGTGGTCACAGAACAGAAATCCAAACCCTCCAAGTCCGGCGAATCCTCAGACAGAAACAAACCTTCAAAGGTCAGCCGCCGCAGCCCCAGACTTCAGACAGCGCAACCTTTAAACCCCCCCCCACGTCACAGCAGCCTGCCGGCTCCCCAGCAGGCCTTGCTGCGCTTGGCGAGGCCCCGACGTCAGCAGGTGGTCTCTGTGTGAGGTCCCCTGGCCCTGGCAGCCCACGTTCTTGGCTCAGCTCACGAGCCCGTGGCCCAGAGGGTCCCCTGCCCATTAGCTGGTTCCTGACCTGTCTTGACTCTCAGAGCCTCTCGAGCGTTTGACATAAGTCGCGGCCCCTCTCCAGCAAGCATCCACTCTACGTTCAGTCGGCACGTTGTAAACAGCCTTCAGGGAGCCGTGAAGCCCTCCTGGGCGCCCAGCTTGAGCAAACCCGGCCGTCTGCCTTGAGCGGAGACCCCGCCCTGGCCTGCACCTGACTGCCCGTCCTTTCCCTCCGCAGAGGTGGTCCAGCTGAGCCTCGCCCCCGAGGACAGGGTCAGCGTGACCACAGTGACCGTGGGGCTGAGCACAGTGCTGACCTGCGCCGTCCGCGGAGACCTGAGGCCGCCGATCGTCTGGAAGCGCAACGGGCTCACCCTCAACTTCCTGGACTTGGAAGACATCAATGTAAGTCACCCAGAACTTGCCCTGACTCGAGGGCACCGCTGGGTAGCCCGCGCGAGTCGCCGTGTGGCCGTGGCAGGACGGAGGGCTCTGGTTTAACATCCCAAGTTCGGAGCTTCCTCCACCTCTTGTCACCTGGGGGTGGCAGAAAATGGCAGAGAATAGGATGAGCGGTGACCTTCAGCCTGGCAGCCGCGCCCAGGCTGCGGAAAGGTGCGCTGGGCGGGAGGCCTCTGACTGGCGTCTGCGTTCACGAAGGCCCGGAGGTGGCGCTGGGGAGGGGCTGTGGCGGGGGCGTGGGCTCCCTCACACGGTGCGGAGAGCTGGCCACAGCGGAGCAGGGGGAGCAACGGGTCGGGGGCCCGAGGAGGCGGCCCTGGGCCCTGATGCTGCGTAGGGTGTGGGCGGCTGGACGTGGGGGAGGGGTGGTCCCGGGGAAGGCAGAGGTGAGCCGCGGGGCCGGCTCGGCTGGAGGGCAGGGGCCAGGTGAGAAGGCTGGGGGGGAACAGGTCAGGCCAGAGGGGGCCTGCCCTGGGGACCTTCCTTGCTGGGTGGGGGGACGAGGTTTGATGAGCTACGTGTACTGCATGGAAGAGGAGAGCAGCTGAGCTCATGGGGCCCAACGTGGCCAAGAGGGGGACTTTGTTCTCTGAGGAACCGGGCAGCCTGGGCTGGGGTCCCAGCATCACCTGTGTCGGCTTTGTGACTTTGAGTGATTTCTTAACCCGCTGATCCCCAGTGAATCAATCTATAAGAAAAGCAACAGTAGTAGTACTTCTCTCCTGTCGGACTTGAGGAAGTGGAATAATACAAGTGTATTGATCGGTCTGGGTTTGGCACAAGACGTGACGTGGCTTCCCAGAAGTTCACGCGAGAAGACAGAGTGATGTCACCCCGCAGTGAGCTGCCAGGACAGCTGACGGGTCTTGGGCTACGGTAACGGGACAGCTGGTCCACAATGGGATGCCTGCCCCAGAGAAGCAAGGCCTGTGGGGTGAGCAGTCAGTTCCTGCAGACATCTCGAGGGTGGTGGGTTGGGGGCTGGGGCAGAGGGAGCTGACCTGGGCTGAGTGACCCCGTGTGTTGGACTAGCACAAAGGGCCAAGGTACACCCCAAAAGGAGACCAATTAGAGCTCCTTAGATGGAACATCACTGCAGCCATCAAACCTGCCCCTCAATGGAGTGAACCATCAAAGGAGGCAGTGAGCTCCCCATCCCTAGGGGCATGCAAGCTCAAGCAGGGACTATGGCCAGCAGTGCTGCTAGCCACACGAGGGCAGCTAAACCCCATGACCTTGAAGGTCCCTTCCAACTCTGAGACCTTCGTGAGGAGAGGGGCCCAGCATGAAATGCTGCAGGAGCCACCGAGGTTGGGGCTCTGATACTCTCTAGTCCTTCGGCTGCACTCTGGAGACCACGGGGGAACAACCGGGCCGGGGGGGGGGCCACTCTGGAGCTGGCAGAAGTGCCCCTCCCCCATCGTCGTCACACGGGCAGCGTTGCTTCTTTGTGACTTGCCCAGGATGGGAACACCGCATCCGAGACGCCGTCGAACGTCCGCGCAGCGCAGCCCTGGTGGGTGCAGCTGGACAGATGCTGGGCGGGCAGCGTCCACCCGGGCCTGAGAGGGCCGGGGCTTGTCTGAGACCTTAGCAAGGAAAGGCGGTGTCCTATTTGTGAAGACTGGTGTGTGTGGGGGGCTGTTGGGGTGCGTGGGTTCACGTGTGCCAAAGCCGTCGAGGGGGCGTCAGCTTTTAAACACGCCTGGCCGGGAGGGACGGACTCAGCACTAGGACGGGGCCGCCTGGGTCTGCCGGCGCTCTCGGGTGCTTTACCGGGTGCTCTGTTCAAAGACATCAGAAGTAAAAGCAGAGGCGAAACTCCTCCCCATGTACCTGCCGTGAGTTAACTAAATTACGCTGAGAGTGTCTCCCCTCCCTCAAACACGCCTCCAGCACCGGCTCAACTGCATTGCTCCTTTTCACAGCAAGGCTGGCCATTCCGGAGATGGCGGCAGGGCCGGAGATTAACGGCCCCTCGTTAGCTCCCGGGAGACACCTGCTGCTCGGGGTTGGGCAGGGCCTGTGCTCCGCAGAAACCCCCAGTGGGGCTGCAGGGCAGCGCCAGCTCAGCAGGGATCCCCCCTGGTGCACGCAACACCCACAAAACACACACACCTGCTCCGCCTCGGGGAGGCTGCCACAAAGCCAATAGTGACGGGCGGGGGCTCTGGGGTCAAAGTCTCAGCTCTGCCAATTACCGGCTGAGCAATCTTAGAAAGTTGCTAGTTGAGTAACCTTGACCTCTCTAAGCCTCAGTTTCCTCTTCTGTGAAATGGGAATAAATAATAGTACCTACCTCGTAGGGTTCTAGTAAAGATTAAATGAGAAGATACATGTAAGTTCTTAACATATAGTATTCCATAAATGCCATCTGTTATCACTCTCATTATCATTATTGCTATTAGTAGTATTACTATCATTAGTATTATTACTTCTGCTGCTGCTAAACAACATTCTCAACATCCTGCAGCCCGAGTCCCCAGCAAGCAGCCAGCGACAGCCTAGTCGAGCAGCTATGACCCTGGTGCACCCCTGCTGCCTGTAGTCGGGGGCGGGGCGACACCGTCCGTGTCAGCCTTGACTCCTCCAGGGAGAGAGACACTGACCAGCAAACCCAGAGCAGCCTGGGCGCGCTGCTGAACTTCTCTGGGCCCACAGAGAAATGGAGATCCGGCATCCTCCCTGCGCAGAGGTTTTCGGGCGGGATGTGTGCGTCAAGCACCCAGCTCCGTGCACGGCACGCAGTAGGTGTTCGTAAGTGGCAGCCCCACTCGGGGGACCGTGAGGAAAAAATCAGGCTGAGGAGGGCTGGAGCCAGGTCATCAGGATGCATGGGGCAGGTTTGAAGCAAGAATTGGTCAGGACAGAGCAGCCCATAGAGGGCAGCACTGAGGGAGCAGAGATCCCAGGGTTGACCACGGGGTTCCTGGCGTCCTCGGCCCGCGACGTCGTAGTACCCACACTCACCGCCGCGGCGAGAGGTGAAACACGACCGCCGGCGTCGTAATCGGTGACTGGCACCCAGACGCTGCAAACGCAGGGCGCCGAGCCGCCTTCGAAACCCACGGCGGGGAGACGACAGAGCACGGAGAGGCGCAGGCTCCTTTCTGTGTCATTTGTACGAGACGTCTTGATTGGCAACAAAATATTAATCACTTTTTCACTACTCTCATAATGAGAAGCTTTCATGGGCAGCAAAATATTAATTTGTCTTGTCTTATCTGTTAAGAATTCTGTTAATGAATCCAGTCACAGAGCTATTGCAGGATGCCATTCTAATGACACACGCAATTAAACTTTTCTGACTGCAAACATCGAGGATGCCTTGAGCATCGGAATAGTATTTGATCAGAAAGCAAATGCTCCCCTCTAGCCCAGGGCCAGGTGAGAAGGGGCCACTCGGTTCCACAGCAGGCGCCGTTGCCGTCAGCAGCACTTGAGTCACCGATCGCGTGCCCGTCCACGGGGCGTGCGTGGGGACCAGCCGTGGACGGATCCGCTTACTGAGTGCCGGAGAGTCGCAAGTCCTGTACCCCAGCAGAGAGCGAGACCCTGTCCCCAGCCTCCAGGGGGGCGGGGTGTCCACAAACAGCTGTACGTTGGCATCTGCCTGGGGCTGCAGCCGGCAGGGTTGAGTGAGTAAGACAGGAGTGTGCAGGGCAGGTCGAGGACAGAGCACACAGAACGTAAAGGGCCTTGAATGCCAACATAAAGACGCGTGGCCGTTCCCCCATGTGCGGTGAGGAGCTGTAGATTTTGATCGCGGAGTGACGTGGTCAGACGTGGGTTGCAGCAGCCTGAGCCCCTTCCAGCCTGAGAGTAAACATGAGTCCCAGGAGGACCCCAAGTATCAAGGGGCCCAGAAATGCGGCGCGCCCCGTTGGTGTTGGGGTCCTCCTCCCCTCTAACATCCCCAGCGGCACATCCGCAGTGGAGCAGCGCCCCAGCCCCCCGCGGCGCCCCCCCAGGCTTCCCTCCACGGGCTGTGGCTCAGCTCAAGGCACCTTTGCCCCCTTAAGGTTGTCGGGAAGTTCCACCTAGACCTCGTGTGTCTCCCGGGGATACCTGAGCCGCCACGTCTCAGGAGGCTTCAGCTTCACCCAGCCCGACTTGCAGGGAGGAAAACAAACCCACCACTGAGCAGAGACTAGGACTGCAGAGCCCCCAAAGACAGGCGCCCCCTGCACAGTCAGCAGCCTGGGGAGCTGGCCACGGCCCTCCCGGCAGTAGGCCTCCGCATTACGATGCCTCCTGCTGTTTGATGAGAAATCAATAGTTTCTGCTCACGCTCGTGTTCCCCAGAGCTAACAAAGTGCAGCCTCTAATTTGTTTACTTCCCGGCTGTCGGTTTCTCTGCTGAAGCAGCCGTGGGTCTGGTGCGCTTCTGACCTGGCCCTGTGCCCCCGACACACCCCAGCCCGCAGGGAACCGCAGCCCACGGCCCCAGCCCAGGAGCTGAGCAGGGACGGCCACCGGCAGCACTACGAGCTCTGCACGACCTGGGCTCAGGCCAGGCTGCCCGCAGGGGTGCGCCTGCGCTCGTGTCTGCAGAAGAGGCGGCTTCACCCCCAGCCCCTGCCACAGAGTCCCCGCAGGGGCCCCTTCCCTAGCGAGCTCCCCCTGCAACCCCCATCCCCCCGGGAACTCGAATCTAGGCTTTTGGGGCTGGGTGGGGCCCATCTCAGAGACAGATCCGTGCATCCTCTCCCTACCCCGGCCCCCACACTGGGCGTCCTGGAGTTGGAGGGGACAGGGCGCTGCCTCACTTTTTCCAGAAACGAAACATGCAAACCAACTCTGGGCCTCGGCCCTCTGGTTCTCTAACCACCTAGCCCACGCAGCAGCTGCTCGGTGACTGTCCCCAAACCCAGTCTGCATGTCCTGCCTCAACACCGTCACCTGCTGTCCCTTTCGTAACTGTCTTCCTTACTGCCCCTCGT